ACAAAAATGGGGTTGTTTAAATAAATAAATATTATGTGATATAGTTGTGATCATTATGTCTTTTTTTTTGTTACAGATATTTAAACTTTTAATTTTACAATTTCCAAGTAAACTTTCCATTGCTGTTTAAGCAAAGTATTATTTTAGACGTTAGTAGTAAGAAAATGGTCATGGAGGCATCCCCTTCTCCACAAAATGTCGGTCGTGAATTTGTCCGACAATATTATACCTTACTTAATCAAGCTCCGGCACACCTTCATAGGTAATTAAATGTTATTTGCTGCTTACATTGTAATGTAGAAGTATTCTTATAATAATGTTATTATACATTAAATATTATTATAGGTTTTACAATCAGCATTCTTCATTTGTGCATGGAGGATTAGATTCTAATAGAGAATCAACTCCAGCAATTGGGCAAAAACAAATACATCAAAAAATCCAACAACTAAACTTCAGAGATTGTCATGCTAAGATAAGTCAAGTTGATTCTCAACTTACTCTTGAAAATGGCGTTGTTGTGCAAGTAAGAAATATTAATATTTATAGTAAATCTAAGAAGTGTAATTTGTACTATTATTATTTTTATTATAAATTTATCTGAAATTTTAATTGACATGTAGTACTGAAAGCTCTTCAGTAAATTGAATTATTTATAGGTATCTGGAGAATTATCTAATGCGGGACAACCAATGCGTCGTTTTACACAAACATTTGTGTTGGCAATACAAGCACCAAAAACGTACTATGTACATAATGATATATTTCGATACCAAGACTTAATTTTTCCTGATGAAGAAGAAGCAGATGTAGGTGGTATAGAAGGAGGTGTAGGTGAGTCTGGTGAGAGGGAAGGGGAAGAGGGAATACGTTCTGAACCAGAAGAAGATGAACATCAAAATCGAGGACAGCAACTAACAACACCAGCTACATCTACTGAACTGCAAACTCAGCCACCACTTATCCCTACACAACAACCTGTGTTGCAACAACAACAACAACAAATGTACTATGCTCCACCACCTCAACAGTCCCATGTTAGTTCAGTACTATAATTGACCCTTTCGGTACGGCAGGAGTCAGCCGCGAAGCGCTACTTTGTGGCCGAGATTCCACTACTTATACTTTCTCAGTATAAGGTGATATGAAGTTATTATCGATTTGTAAAATAATTTATATCAACTATCACATTTAAAACAAAAGTTATGAAGCAGAAATGCACGTCTGGTTTGAATCTAGTCACCGAGCACACAGGCTACAGCGAGCATCTCACGCCTGCTGACTAAAGTCGGCGCTCGGGCATATGTGAGTGTTTTAGCGGCCGTCGACTATAGTTGACGATCGTACCGAAAGGGTTAAAAATTTGAATAAAATTTCATACTAAGTAGATTTATTGTTTTAGGTACATCCAGTAATGCAGCAAGTTTTAAATGGATCAGTTCACGAAGAAGCACCGCTAATTAATCAACAACCACCACAGCAACAGCAACAACAGCAACAGCAAACACCTCCACCACCTGCACAGCAGCATCAATACATAACTGAACCTACAACACAAACACAATTTGTACAAGAAACAGAACTGGATACTACAACAGCAGAGCAACAACAGCAAACAGAAAATGAGCCACAAACTCAATCAAGTGAGAATCGTGAACAACCTGAGGCCGAATCATTTACTGCTTCTGTACAAGAATCTGAACCAGAACATCAAGTGACCAATACAAGTGTGACCAGTAGTGGACCGAAAACATATGCCAATCTTGTGAAATCGTTTCCCAGTACTACTGGCGCTACTAGTCCACAAGCTCCCAAACTGTCTATATCGCCGGTATACATTTTATAATTATAATGTTTACATTTAATAATAAAAATTTTACGCAATTTGGGTCCTAACAAAGTATAGATATGAAATGCGCATTTACATATTTGTTCTCAGCCTCCAATGACAAACTTGCGTTTAGACGACAGATCACCACTACATCCAATTAGTAGTGGACCTGCAGTTTCCACTTCAACTAATGTTTCCACACCTCAACAGCAGACACATAGAGTTGGTAATCAGCAACCACAACAACAGCATCAGCAACAGCGAGCTCCTAGAGGGGGAGCAGTGCAACGAGGTAAAGACGTTTATTGTAAGGTACTAATAACATTAATAAAGATTAATTTTTTAGGTTTTATTAATATGCATTTTTCAGATGGCGATCGTCGTGGTACAAGACAAAGTCAGTACAGTGATGCTCACCAACTGTTCCTTGGAAATTTGCCGCATAATGCGTCTGAAGATGATTTACGTCAAGTATTTGAATCCTATGGTAGGGTAGTAGAATTGCGTATACACAGTAAATCGAACGATAGATGCAAAGGTCCGCAGGGAAATAACACAGGAAAAGTGCCTAACTATGGCTTTATCACATTCGAAGACCAACAAGTTGTTAGCAAAGTGTTACAAAACGTGGTTAGTTTTATTTATATGGTATAACCTTTTTTAATAAACAAAGATTCATGTTTTTATTAATTATTTTAG